CCACTGCACTCCAATGTGGGCGACAAGAGCAAAACACCGTCTCAAAAAAAAAAGGGGGATGAACCACGTGGTGCCGTGGCTCACACCTGTAATCCCAGCACTTTGGGAGGCTGAGTTGGGAAGATTGCTTGAGGCCAAAAGTTTGAGGCGAGCCTGGGCGACATAGCAAGACCCTATCTCTGCAAACATTTTTAAAAGCAGCTGGGTGTGATGGTACATGCCTGTGGTCCCAGCTCCTTGGGAAGCTGAGGTGGGAGGATCACTTGAGTCCAGGAGGTGGAGGCTGCAGTGTGCGGTGATTGCACCACTGCACTCCAGCCTGGGTGACAGAGCGAGACCCTGTCTCGAAAATAAATCAGTAAACCCAAGGGGATGCTGCGTCAGCGTGTAGTGTAGCACGCCCTCAGCGGCTCACGGCTGCCCAGAAGAGAAACGCTCTTTTTAGAGTTTCTCAGGAGAGAGCTGGGCAGTGGCTTACACCTGAAATCCCAGCCACTCATGAGGCCAACGTGGGAGATCGCTTGAGCCCAGGAGTTCAAGTCCAGCCTGGGCAACCTAGTGAGACCTCATCTCTAAAAGAAAAAATAAACAGAATTGCTCAGAGGAGTGCCTATCTTATATTTCAAGGACAAAGACACTGCTCATTGCTGTTTGTCCTGCGCACAGTTCCCGCTGGTGCCATCACTGATTCACTGGTCGATGCTTTTACCATGCTCGCACCAGTTCTGCTCTGCGGAGGTTGGAGAAACCACCAGGGGATGGTGCCTTATCCTTAGGAGCTCTAGTCCAGAAGAGGCACTGCTGTCTACATGCAGATGCATATGAGAGAAGAGAATGTCATCTCTGCCTAAGGAAGGAGAACAGCACGTTATGGGGGTGGGTTGTGCAATCGGTGGTGGAGAGGAAAGGCTGCTTGAAGAGGTGGCACAACTACAGGGCCCTGAAGGGTGGGGAGGAGCTGGCCTGCAGAATAACTTGGGAACCCGTTTTGGCGTTGTGTGGGGAGCTGACACCAGTTCTTCCCACGCAGCTATCTGACAAGGTCTAGGTTCCAGGAGCCCTGTGGGATTTTGTTGTCTATTGCAGATCGGGAAGCCCGAGAGAGGAAGAGGAGGCGGCAGCTCAGGGCCAGTGTGTTTGCCCTGGCCCTGCCACTGAGCCTGGGCCCGTGCTGGGCTCTCTGGGTTGCTGCCCCAAAGGCTTCAGCCACCATCCGGGGGCCACAGCGGAGGCTGCTGGGGAGCCTGCTGCAGGTGAGGCTGGGCCACCCTGGGGAGGACTCGGGGTACTGCATGTCCTGCCAAATGCCTGGGGTGGGATGACGCGGGGGCTGGGGGAGTGGGGTTAAGCCTGCCTTTGTTGGAAGAAACCTCTGAAAGCAGAAAAGGAATCCTGAGCTTTGTCTGTTTCTTGGGGCACATGGACAGTCTGCAGAGTGCTAATGGTGGATCACCTGTTCTTGCAGGAAAATACTGAGATCCTCGGCTACCTGCTGGGTAGCATTGCCGCCTTTGGCTCCTGGGCTTCTCGGATCCCCCCTCTCTCCAGAATTGTGAGGCTGGGGTGGGGCTGGGACTGTGGGTCACATGGCAGGTCTTGGGGCATCTGGGAGCATCCTGAGAGGGCCATGGGATGGGAGTGTGGTGTCACCGTGTGTGCATGCACGCGGACTCAGCTTTTTCTGAAGAGCGTTGGTGTGTATGGCAGCAAGGAGGGGATGTGTGTGGAGAGGGGCAGCCAGCCCAGGGCATCCTGAGGACGGCGGGAGCCTCTCGGGGAAAACCCGTGGGTTCTTTCCCATTTCCTATAGCACATGAAAAGCAGGCTGTGAGGAAAAAGCCCCTGAGGCTGGCTAAACCCATGAGAGAATGAGATTGGAGAGACTCCAGGCAGTCAGGTATGAGGTTCTGTGTAGATCAAGAGTGTCTTAGGCCGGGCGCAGTGGCTCACGC